AGGTCAGCAACTGTTGCACCAAAACAGTTGTTAGATGCACTGTTTTCCAATAAGATTCCTATCTTCATTGGTTGTATCTTTTCTAATATATAGTTGACATTATCGATCACGTCTGATCGTTGTCGTTTGTTTTTTGTCCCTTGATGTAGGACTGCCCATCTTATATTCATTTCCTTTGCACATGTATATTCTTCTATTATTCTTTTAATTTTCCAGTTTACTTTGTTGTCTCTATACAGTTGATCATTGATGTATAGTCCAAGTGTTGTATGTAGTACCATTTTTAATCCTATATTTCTATTTCCTTCTATTATATCTCTATCTGCTTTTTTATCATGCATTGCCATTTTCAATGCTTCATATTTTGGAGTATCTTCTGATTCTTGATATTTTAAGAATATCTGAAGGATATTTGATTGCGTTAATACTGCTGTAGATACTATTTCTGTCTATATTCCATCTGTTGTTACTCCTATAAGTTTCTTTCGCTGCCTATTTAAAGAAACTTGTCGTTTTAATTCTTTAAGCTGTTCTTCAAAAGTTTGAGGTAATATGCTTTTGATAAACTTTTGTTTTCTTTGGGTTTGTATTTTTCAGTTACCCAATTGATTTGGTTGGTATCGGAGTTTCCTGTTGATGGTTTTCTGATATTCTCCTTAGGTTTTCATTGTGGATATTTTCTAATAGCATGTAAATATTCTTTTAATATTTTCTTGCTAATTTTAGTATCTTTGGAGGCTTTCTTTTTGCTTTCTTTAGTTGATTCAGTAGATTTTTTGTCTGATCCGAGCTCGAATTTATTTTGTTCACCACGTTGGACATCATCTTGAGCGTTAGCGAGGGATGTGGCCAACGTGTGTCTCTTTGTTATTTTTGTGTTGTGGGGAATCGTTTTCTGTTCACCACGTTGGGCTCCATCGCAGGGTTTTTTCTTGCTTTTAAGGGGTGTATCCCTAGCCTTTCGAGCGAGGTGACTAGGTGCGACAGTTGTGGGTGTGTTTGTATTATTGTCACGTGATACTGGGGTAGACTCTTCTTTTTTCAAGGTGCAAGAGGGATTTCCTGGAACAGAGTTAAGATTTAACCCTGATA